TAAAGAATGCATCACTAATTTTGGGACGTAAAAAATCTGAGATCAAATATGGCGGCAGTCCGTTGTTCATAAAACGCTCAAAATATTTTGTGCTATCCTAAACGTAAAGGTAAAGAATGCATCACTAATTTTGGGACGTAAAAATCTGAGATCAAATATGGCGGCAGTCCGCAGTTCATAAAACGCTCAAAATATTTTGTGCTATCCTAAACGTAAGGTAAAGAATGCATCACTAATTTTGGGACGTAAAAATCTGACATCAAATATGGCGGCAGTCCGCAGTTCATAAAACGCTCAAAATGTTTTGTGCTATCCTAAACGTAAGGTAAAGAATGCATCACTAATTTTGGGACGTAAAAATCTGAGATCAAATATGGCGGCAGTCCGTAGTTCATAAAACGCTCATAATATTTTGTTTTATCCTAAACGTAAGGTAAAGAATGCATCACTAATTTTGGGACGTAAAAATCTGAGATCAAATATGGCGGCAGTCCGCAGTTCATAAAACGCTCAAAATATTTTGTGCTATCCTAAACGTAAGGTAAAGAATGCATCACTAATTTTGGCACGTAAAATCTGAGATCAAATATGGCGGCAGTCCGCAGTTCATAAAACGCTCAAAATATTTTGTTTTATCCTAAACGTAAAGGTAAAGAATGCATCACTAATTTTTGGGACGTAAAAATCTGAGATCAAATATGGCGGCAGTCCGCAGTTCATAAAACGCTCAAAATATTTTGTGCTATCCTAAACGTAAGGTAAAGAATGCATCACTAATTTTGGGACGTAAAAATCTGAGATCAAATATGGCGGCAGTCCGCTTTTTCACGCTTAAAACGCTCAAAATATTTTTAAAATCTGAGCTATCCTAAACGCTCAAAAAGGTAAAGAATGCATCACTAATTTTGGGACGTAAAAATCTGAGATCAAATATGGCGGCAGTCCGCAGTTCATAAAACGCTCAAAATATTTTGTGCTATCCTAAACGTAAGGTAAAGAATGCATCACTAATTTTGGGACGTAAAAATCTGAGATCAAATATGGCGGCAGTCCGCAGTTCATAAAACGCTCAAAATATTTTGTGCTATCCTAAACGTAAACAAAAAAGAATGCATCACTAATTTTGGGACGTAAAAATCTGAGATCAAATATGGCGGCAGTTCATGTTCATAAAACCCTCAAAATATTTTGTGCTATCCTAAACGTAAAGGTAAAGAATGCATCACTAATTTTGGGACGTAAAAATCTGAGATCAAATATGGCGGCAGTCCGCAGTTCATAAAACGCTCAAAATATTTTGTGCTATCCTAAACGTAAGGTAAAGAATGCATCACTAATTTTGGGACGTAAAAATCTGACATCAAATATGGCGGCACAGTTCATAAAAATCAAAATATTTTGTGCTATCCTAAACGTAAGGTAAAAAGAATTCATCACTAATTTTGGGACGTAAAAATCTATTTTTCATTGGGATCAAAATGGATCAAAATATGGCGTAAAGTCCGCAGTTCATAAAACCTCAAAATATTTTGTGCTAAAACCCTAAACGTAAGGTAAAAAGAATGCATCACTAATTTTGGGACGTAAAAATCTGAGATCAAATATGGCGGCAATCACCAGTTCATAAAAAACTTAAAATATTTTGTGCTATCCTAAACGTAAGGTAAAGAATGCATCACTAATTTTGGGACGTAAAAATCTGAGATCAAATATGGCGGCAGTCCGTAGTTCATAAAACGCTCAAAATATTTTTGCTATATCCTAAACGTAAGGTAAAAAAGAATGCATCACTAATTTTGGGACGTAAAAATCTGAGATCAAATATGGCGGCAGTCCGCAGTTCATAAAACGCTCAAAATATTTTGTGCTATCCTAAACGTAAGGTAAAGAATGCATCACTAATTTTGGGACGTAAAAATCTGAGATCAAATATGGCGGCAGTCCGCTGTTCATAAAAACGCTCAAAATATTTTGTTTTATCCTAAACGTAAGGTAAAGAATGCATCAATTTTGGGACGTAAAAATCTGAGATCAAATATGGCGGCAGTCCGCAGTTCATAAAACGCTCAAAATATTTTGTGCTATCCTAAACGTAAAGGTAAAGAATGCATCACTAATTTTGGGACGTAAAATCTGAGATCAAATATGGCGGCAGTCCGCTTTTCATAAAACGCTCAAAATATTTTGTGCTATCCTAAACGTAAGGTAAAGAATGCATCACTAATTTTGGGACGTAAAAATCTGAGATCAAATATGGCGGCAGTCCGCAGTTCATAAAACGCTCAAAATATTTTGTGCTATCCTAAACATAAGGTAAAGAATGCATCACTAATTTTGGGACGTAAAATCTGAGATCAAAATGGCGGCAGTCCACAGTTCATAAAACGCTCAAAATATTTTGTGCTATCCTAAACGTAAGGTAAAGAATGCATCACTAATTTTGGCACGTAAAATCTGAGATCAAATATGGCGGCAGTCCGCAGTTCATAAAACGCTCATAATATTTTGTTTTATCCTAAACACCAGGTGAAGAATGCACCGCTAATTGTTGAACGTAACTTAATCTGCGATCAGTTCGAAATTGTAGGTTAATCAATTAAAATTGATAGCAAGATGTTACAAAAGCAAAATGCTGGATAAAAACTAGAGTCATGTACTTAAATAACTTCGTCAGGCCTAGACTCTCATATGGATATCATAAATGACGTTTAATCCGTCCAGAAAAGTCTATACTATAATCTGTATACAATTTCTCAGATAAATGATTAAAAATTGCTTCAAGTGGATGAATCCTTTTGGTCTTAAAGAAGACAACCGTTCATCAGATCTTTCGGACTTGCGCTAAAGAATTAGAAAGGACTTTACAAAATAAGAAAAAAAATACATCGTTTGAAAAGTTCACACTACAGCAATAACTAAAATGTATCACACATGTAACTAGTAGGGAAAATGATATAATTAAGATGATGACTCATAACGTAGGTTAACATCAGTGACTTGAGGAGGTAGTTCCGCACTGGTATATATAAGAGAGAAAAGGGAAAAGAAGAGAGAAAAGTGAGAAGAAGAGAAAAAGTGAGAAGAGAGAAAAGTGAGAAAAAGTGAGAAGAAGAGAGTAAAGTGAGAAGAGAGAAAAGTGAAAAGAAGAGAGAAAAGTGAAAAGAAGAGAGAAAAGTGAAAAGAAGAGAGAAAAGTGAGAAGAGAAAAAGTGAAAAGAAGAAAGAAAAGTGAGAAGAAAAAGTGAGAAAAGACAAAAAGTGCGAAGAAGAGAGAAAAGTGAAAAGAAGAGAGAAATATGAGAAGAGAAAAAGTGAGAAGAGAGAAAAGTGAGAAAAAGTGAGAAGAATAGAGCAAAGTAAGAAGAGAGAAAATTGAAAAGAAGAGAGAAAAGTGAAAAGAAGAGAGAAAAGTGAGAAGAGAGAAAAAGTGAGAAGAGAGAAAAGTGAAAAGAGGAGAGAAAAGTGAAAGAAGAAAGAAAAGTGAGAAGAAGATAAAAAGTGAGAAGAAGAGAGAAAAGTGAGAAAAAGTGAGAAGAATAGAGCAAAGTGAGAAGAGAGAAAAGTGAAAAGAGGAGAGAAAAGTGAAAAGCAGAGTGAAAAGTGAGAAGAAGACAAAAAGTGAGAAGAAGAGAGAAAAGGGAAAAAAGAGAGAAATGTGAAAAGAATAGAGAAAAGGAAAAAGAAGAGAGAAAAGTGAGAAGAAGAGAAAAAGTAAGAAGAAAAAGAAAAGTGGGAAAAAGTGAGAAGAAGAGAGTAAATTTGGAAGAGAGAAAAGAGAAAAGAAGAGAGAAAATTGAAAAGAAGAGAGAAACGTGAGAAGAGAAAAAGTGAGAAGAAGAGAGAAAAGTGAGAAAAAGTGAGAAGAAGAGAGCAAAGTGAGAAGAAAGAAAAGAGAAAAGAAGAGAGAAAAGTGAAAAGAAGTGAGAAAAGTGTGAAGAAGAGAGGAGAGAGCCAAGTGAGAAGAGAAAAAAGTGAGAAGAGAGAAAAGTGAGAAGAAGAGAGAAAAGTGAGAAGAGAGAAAAGTGAGAAGAAAGAAATGTGAAAAGAATAGAGGAAAGGGAAAAGAAGAGAGAAAAGTGAGAAGAAGGGAGAAAAGTGAGAAGAGAAAAAGTGAGAAGAGAAAAAGTGAGAAGAAGAGAGAAAAGTGAGAAGAGAAAAAGTGAGAAGAAGAGAGAAAAGTGAGAAGAGAAAAAGTGAGAAGAGAAAAAGTGAGAAGAAGAGGGAAAAGTGAGAAAAAGTGCGAAGAAGAGCAAAGTGAGAAGAGAGAAAAGTGAGAAGAGAGAAAAGTGAAAAGAAGAAAGAAAAGGGAAAAGAAGAGAGTAATGTGAAAAGAAGAGAGAAAAGTGTGCAGAAGAGAGACAAGTGAGAAGAAGAGAGGAAAGTGAGAAGAACATAAAAGAGTAAGGACAAAGGTGAGATTGATAAGGGGGAAAAGTTTTAAAAGGGTATAAAAGTTTTATACACTATAATGAACAATACAGTGTTTAAAAAATGTATTAGTGAAAAAAAAAGGAATCGCTTATAAAGAAATGAAAAAGCGTTGCAAAGGGAGAGAAAGAAAAAAAGATGCATGTAAAAAAACACAAAGAATAAAAGCAAATGGAGCGATCAAAAGCAGAGCGAGAAAGTTAAAATGAAAAATAAAAGACAGATGGATAAATAAAATGGAGAAAGAAATGAAAAAAAGAGAACTTGCGTCAAACAGAAGAGTGCAGTCTTCGAGATTTTTCTGTGAGCAACTTGGAATCTGCGAAAACTTAAATGCTAAGGGACAATGCCTGCCAGGGAGTTTATAATCCAGTACCATCTGTCAAAATTATTTATTCACCTGGTCGAGTTTCCTTTATGACTAAACGTCCATCATCATCATCGTCATCATTATCAACATCATCATCTTCTTCTTCTTCTTCTTCTTCTTCTTCTTCTTCTTCTTATTCGTACCGAGTCCGTTCAGGCCGTGGATGATCATGCCTCCCCACGACTTCCTGTCCTTTGTAGTCTTACGGCCGCATCACGTTGAAACACCGGTTACCGCATGACCACCGAAGTTAAGCAACGTCGAGCCTGGACACTACCTAGATGGGTGACCGATTGAGAATATCACGTGCGGTAAGCTTAGATGTGCGGGTAGTGCAATGGATAATGGAAATTGTTAATCGGAGAGCCGAGTTCCAATTCGCGTTGGGCTCGTTATATTCACTTACTTGCAAAAGGTATCCCCCCCCACAAGCTATGGGTTCATTTGTAAGACATATATCACTAAATCACTGTTATTAAAAAAAATTGAAAAGGGTTGATAAACTGTAAAAAACGAATCAATATGCTTTGTATCAATAAGTAAGGCTTCTTATCTCTCCTAATCTCTGTTCTGCCAACCATTTACACAAATTCGTATCTAGGTTGTTTACTGCTTTCCTTTGTTTCTATTACCTTCATTATGTCATGTGGGTGTCAAATTCTCAAAGCCTTCTTTCTTCATTATGTGTCCTAGAATTTTCAATACTCTCTTTCTAAGTATATCCTTTTTTTATTTCCATTTTCCAGAAAACTTCCTCGTTACGCACATGATCATTCTTAGTATCCTTATTTAAAACCACATTTCTGTTAATTCAAGTCTGCTTCCCAATTCGTCAATATTTGTGGGCGTGAATCGACAACAACCAATCAAATAACGGAAAATCAACGGATTGCAAGTTCAATGGCAAGACGCTCGCTATATATTGGTGAATTGTGAGGCAGAAACTTGTCACCAGTTCCTTTCCCAAACGACAATTCCAAACGAAATCGAAAGCGTGTGAGAATCAACTACGGTTCAGGAGAACATTATAATCACCATTTTTTTTTAAGCAATTTACCCCAGGCTAGGCAGGGGGGTGCCACTAGCACACAAGGGGTTACAAAGAGTGAGAGTAAGAGTAAAGGGGAGTGTTCGGGAAAAAGATAAAGAAAAGGTCAGGGATCAAGGTCAAGGCATCAGAAGATGTCGACTGACATTACATTTGAATATTTGAAGATTATAGCTATCAGGGAAGCAAGTGATAGGAAGGGAGTTCCACTGACGGGAGGTGCGAGATAAGAAGCTCTTCGAGTAAAACAGATGACTACATTTAGTCGCTTCGACAGTAAAAGGGTGGGACTGAGATGCCAACCTAGTAGCACGCTTAAATTCATGCAGTTTGGCAACATGTGAAAGAAGTTCGTCAGTGCAGATGCTATGAAAATACTTGTAGAAAAGACAGAGGAAGCCACAGCACGTCTGTGAGATAGCGACTGCAGACGGATGCCAGATCAGGACCTATCGTTGCATATCCGTCTCTGGATTTTGTCGAGGACCTCAAGATGAAGAGCGGGAGGACCAGACCATATATGGCAGCAGTATTCCATGCAGGGACGAAGGTTTGATTTGTAGATTTGAAGGATGGTCTCTGGCGAGAAGAACCTTCAGGCGCGACAGAGAGAACCAAATTTTCTTTGTGGTAGATGAAGCTGTAGATTCAATGTAGGTCAGTGGACAGCGTGAGACCAAACAGGCGCAGAGAGGCACTGTCGTGGAGTTGGGCATCAGCCATCCTGATGGGAGGCAGGGAGGATTCATTTTGGTGGGTAACTGAGAGCAGTTTCGTTTTAGAGGGCACTAAACTTTACAAACTATTTTCTACCCCAGTCAACCAGGTTATTTTTGTCAACGATGCCGGATCTACTATTAAGGCTGGAGAAAATAGTAGTGGCTTCAATCTAGATGTCAATTTGGGAGTTGATGACATCAGGAAGATCGTTGATGAAGATCAGAAACAGTATTATTAATATTATTAGGTTGGTGCAAAAATAATGACGTAATAATGTCGTTTTTGACGTATTTTTAACGTCAAAAGAACGACATTATTACGTCATTATTTTTGCACCAACCTAATATTATTATTATTATTAACGTCGGGTTTCTGTATAGTATAATCTATTGCTGCCGTCATCACGTGATAATTACAAAAAATTATTTAAACCTTTGAATCTAAATTAAATATTTTATATACGCATATCCTTTTTTTTATCTCTTTGCTTATATATTTAAATTTTAGAAATATTTTAAGCATTTAGCTACAATTGCAATCAGTCGATCTGTTTCTGTTCCCTGAATTAGTAGCCGTTGCTGGTCTGTTTTCGCCACTGCTTACTTCCTGTGATTAGTGCAGCTCTAAACATGTGACATTAGCTCTTATTGCATTAACACTGCTTCATTTACCAGGCCAGACCTAAAATAGACAGCGACAGTAAGCGATATTTATTCTGTTAAATACACAGAAATGTGGCACAAGGCCGACGCAGGGATTGGGGAAAGGACGGTCTTCTTCTGTCTTAGCTAGCCGCAAACACTGACCCAATCACACGAACAATATTCCTTACACCAAAACAACCCATTTATACGTACCTTTCTTACTACAATCACCATAATACCACACTGTCTCTATGAAGATACTAACTAGTCCCCATATTTACAATTCATTGTCTGTCGGGGGAGGGGAATAAAATCAACAATTCTAAAAACTAGCCCCAATGAGTATTTACAAATATGGATACAAAACTATTTACAAGAATCTAAAGAAAATAATATTAGTAATAACCCCCCACCACAATCACTAAATGTGGCAGAAATATCAGTTCACTGGTCGAAATCAATGCGGGACTATAATAGTATAAAACATTCCTTCATCCCAATCACTCACACTGACATGCACTCATTCAGACACAACAACAAATACGAAAAAAACACTCACGCGAAACGTAAGGCGCCCCGCATCCACCAGCGAACTGACATCACTGACCACCTAACGATGGAGGGGATGGGGAATTAAACATAAAGAAAAAATAGGGAGAGAAATAAAAGGGGCCAATGAGGATACATACCCTAGCTAAGTTAACTTGAAAGAAAAAGAAACTAAAACATCAAAAAAACGTACCTAACCTAGCCTAGTTTCGGGATGGGTTGCACAAGTTCAACCCAGGAAGAGCAATATCCTGCTGTAGAGACAGTCAGCAAAAATACACAGAACGGTGCGCTGCGTTAGAAGACGATTAGTTTGTTCTTTAATGAAGATCAACCCTTTACAGGTTATTTAAGGCCAGAAAATATTTTTAAATTGTAAGATTTTTTAAAGAATAATAATGATATGCTCTTACAAACCTTACTAGTTAACCCTTATTTGGTGGGAGAAAAGTTAAAGTCATCTCTTTCTCAAGGTTATTTAAGCGTAAGTGAATACAACGAATCCTAACGAAGCTGGAAATCGGAGAGTCAAATTCCATTTCCGAGCCGTTATTCATTACGCCAACAACACATACATCACCTGGTATTGCCAAGGGTTACCCATCTACGTGCCGACCAGGCGTGATGTTGCTTAACTCCGATGATTGTATAAGAACCGTAAGCTATATCACCCGCACATCCAAGCTTACAGCACCTGATATGCCCAAACGAGATCGACTTTGCTTAACTTGGGTGACGATAAGCGGTGTTTGAACGCGATATGGCCGTAAACCAAACCATCCACACGTTCAAGCTTACAACACCTAGTATTATTAAGTTGCCACCCTTGTAGGTTCTAACCAGACTGGAGGCTGCTTAACTTCGGTGATCGAACGAGAACCGGTGTTTCAATACGATATGGCCGTAAACCAAACCACCCACAAGTCCAAGTTTACAACAGCTGGCTTTCCTAAAAAGTCACCCCTCTAGGCACTAACAAGACCGGAGGTTACTTAACTTCGGTGATCGAACGAGAACCGGTGTTTCAACGCGATATGGTCGTAAACCAAACCACCCGCACGTCCAAGCTTACAGCACCTTGTATTCCTAAGTAGTCACCCCTCTATGTACTAACCAGACCAGAGGTTACTTAACTTCGGTGATTGAACGAGAACCCGATTTTCAACGCGATATGGCCGTAAACTAAACTACCGGCACATCCAAGCTTGCAGCACCTGGTATTCCCAAGCGGTCACCCATTTTGATAGTGACCAAACGTGAGGTTGCTCAACTTCGGTGATCGAACGAGAACCAGTGTTTCAACGCGCTATGACCGTAAGCCGTTATAGAAATAAACTATCAGCTGCATGACAGCTAGTGAGTGGTTGAATAAGACACAAAGTCGCCGACCATTTGCGATTGATCCAATTCAAACTGCACGAGGTTGATGTTTGGCTATGAAAGAAATCAGGATTTCATAGCAGAACAGAGATTCTCCAGGCACTATTACGGTCGACAAGAATAGCCGGTGGTTTGTTATAATTCTATCCTGACGGTAGCTCCTTCTGACCAAACAGATGCAGGTGCCAGAGAGCGTGAATTTTCATTTGTTAAGATTTCTCAAACATTCGGGCCGGTTGTCGAAAATAAATAAATATACTGTTTACTAAATAAACAAAGCGTCTACTCAAATAAAATTATTGTTTAAAGTGTTAAAGAATTCTATCCTCAACAACAACTTCTAAATATCCGGTTTGTGCATGCAAATAAATATTTTCTTTAATCATTTCACCCCAAGCAAGGCGAGAGAGCCGCTAGCTCACAAGGAGTTACAGAGAGTGGGTGCAAGAGTAAAGAGGCGTGAGAGAGGAAAGGATAGAGGAAGAAAAGTACAGGGAATAGATCAAAGCATCTGGAGATGTCGATTGACATTAAATTTGAATAATTGAAGATCATAGCTATAAGGGAAGCAAGTAAGAGGAAGGGAGTTACACCCACGGGAAGTGCGAGACATGAAACTACTGGAGTAAAAGAGACGGCTACATTTAACGACAGTGAAAGAATGGGACTGATATGCTAACCTAGTAGCACGCTTAAATTCATGTAATTTTTGGAAATCAGGGACAGTAGCTTGTTGGAGCAGATACCGTGAAAGTATTTGTAGAAAAGACAGAGGGAAGCGATGGCACGTCTGTGAGAAAGTGACTGTAGACGAGATGCCAGATCAGAACCAATCATATTGCATACCGGTATCTGGATTTTTTCGAGGACCTTGAGACGAACAGCGGCGGCTCCAAACCATATATGGCAGCAGGATTCCATTCAAGGACGAATGATTTATAGATTTGAAAGCTGGATTCAGGCGAGAAAAAAACTTTCTGGCGCGACACATACTACCAGTTTTCCTTGCGGTAGATGAAGCTATTGATTCAGTGTATTTGTTCCATCTCAGGTCAGCGGACAGTGTGCAACCAAGCAGGTGCAGAGAGCCGCTCTCGTGGAGTTAAGCTTGAGACATTATTATGGGAGGCAGGAAGGGTTCACTTTGGCGGGTAAAAGAGAGCAGTTTTATTTTTAAGGCATTAGAGTTTACCAGTCATTTTTTTGCCCCAGTCAAACACAAATCAGAGGTCCTTTTCGACTTAGTTTTGTCAGTGATTTGATATTGAGGCAGGAGTAAATAGTGGCGTCGTCTGCATAGATACTTACTTGGAAACTGATGACATTTCATTTTTAATATATTCTGAAGTTAATCTGCGCCGCTTTGAATAGAATTACGATGTACCTTCAGGACGTAGGCGATGGTGGCTTTTCCCAGATTACTTTTATTGTCAATTACTATGATTTTCCCACAGAACTCATGGCTGCTACCAACCCAGTCTACTCTGCTATTTAATCTATAAATAAGGGAGAAGAAATGGATTTATGTTTTTTTGTTTTTTTTGTTTTTTTTTCCAAGAGCATCAGTACGAAGTGAACGCAATTGACTTAGCAGGAATCTGATTTCGATTCTCTATGATGTCTGCGTATTGATGCTTAGTGACGGAATGGCCACGGTGTCAGCTTGCCCGATGGCAGGTTTGCCACTGTTGGAGTGGACCACCAATATCAAATAGAAATTCAATAAAGAAACAAAGGCAATTGTTTTAGTAGTAAAAACAAATAAGAACTTTATGAAGACATTTGGAGACTATCAGTTATTCAAGTGTATTGTGAAATGACATTTTCAAAGGATAAAGATCATGAAGACAAGATTAAGAAGAATATGGAATCATACATGTTGCTAGCTATTGAAAAAGTATTTTCACATGAATTGGATGCAAAAGCAATTATTAGCAGATTCGCACAATCATCTGATTAAAACAAACGATTGCTCTTAATATAGTGGACTGCATGCAATGCTCTATTGTACTATTGAACTATCTGTTGTGATTGGTTTGTTTTGTTTTACGGCATATCAACCTCAATGGGTTATTTAATGCCGACACGATATTTATTGCTGGTGATATTTTTTTCCAAAAATGTATTGCTGGTAATAATTTTAAAAAATTATTTCTGGTATTAAAACCTATTTTTACACTTTCATAGTATTTTGACCCCAGTTTGGGGATGTTAACTATTTGCCCATAGCTGGGACCCTAACAGGTGCTACCATCCCGGGTTAGGGTGGACCTGGGAACACCAGCAATTAAGATGTGGTTCCACGCTCCTCAAAGCCTCCTGATCAGAGGCCTTGCTGTTGGAAGTAGTTTATCGTCTTACCCAGGACACGAATGTAGTTTATCGTCTTACCCAGGACGCGGATGTAGTTTATCGTCATACCCAGGACAGATCTGTTATGTAATTTGTGCAGTAAACGATTTAAAAATATCAACCAATTAAAATTAAAAATGCCAATTATAACATTCTCCATATACATTTAGTATGTACTGCCATGGTAATTACTAAGAAATACACTTTTTCCATATGTATTTTTGAAACTTTTATTTATTCATTATGAAAATGATAGTATTGTACTTGTGGCTAGCAACCCCTTTCGTCTCCTTCGTCTTTCTCTACTAAACTCAGTCAGCTATCTTTTCTTCATCTATCGTTTCCCTTCCACACATGACTGTTGCGGGCTAGATAGTATTTCTGATAGCATAGATATGCCCCTCTCTTTACAACCGTTTGCAAATATCTTTGTGTTCGGCGATTTCAATGCTCACACTACCAGGTGGCTTAAACACACTGCCATTGACTTCGCTAACATTCAGGCTTTAAACTTTTCTCTTATACAATCTTTCAAGCAGGTGTTATACTTCTTCACGCGTTTCCTCAGTAATCCTAACGGACACACTTCTCTACTTGATCATTTCTTTACCTGTATCGCTTCTTTGCCTGTATCCCTTCTTTACCTGACTAATGTAGTGCTCTGCAGCTCTTTCCTCTTGGCAGCCCCGACCATGCGATAGCGTCTGTAGACATCTCTCTCCGCGCTCCCATCAGTCGTGAACCTCATGCCAACAGAATATCTTTCTGTTATCAACGCGCTGATTGGGACTCGTTTCGTAACTTCCTTCGTGACGTTCCTTGGAATGATTTTTTAATCAATCTGTTCAAAAATGTACCACTGAGATCTACTCCTGGATGAAAGCGGGCGTCGAAGCATTCGTTCCAGCACGGAAATACCAAGTGAAACCACGATCATCTCCTTGCTTCTCACCTGCCTTCTCAGCCTCTATAACCTACAGAAATCACTTTTTCGGCTGTACCAGAGTGACAGGTCTGATTGTAAAAGACCTCTGTTTGTCACTACGCATAATGAGTACACGCGTATCTTCAAAGTGAAGTCACTATTTACCGAAAGAATGAAACAACGAATAGATTCACACAAGTTTGGTTCTAGAGATTACTAGCAGCTCTGTAAAAGTGTTCTGAACCATAGCAAATCCTTAATCACTCTTCTCTTTAATCAATTTGAAATACTAACATCTACTACAAATAAGTTAGAGTGCTTTGCTCGGAAGTCCTCTTCCAACTAAACTCTCCTGGAGTACCCTGAAGTGTCTTTCCACTAGAAAGGAGGCTCTACTGAGTGATATTCGCATAACCCCGTCACTGGTTTCGGGTATCATTTCCAAATTAGATCCCCACAAGGTAAGCAGATGTAACAGGGCCACTGTCGTCGTCATAAAGAAATGTGCTCCTGAACCGGCTCCTATTCTCTCCAAACTTTACAACAACTGTCTCGCTGCTTCCTACTTTGCAGCTCGTTTGTAAGTCCTCCTCTGTATTTCCTGTTTTAAGAACTTTGGAGAATCTTTTGACTACTCAAATTATCATCCTATTAGTTTCTTACTGCTTTTTGGCAAAGTACCCCACGCTCTAATTAATATCGAAGTAGTAAGGCATCTTACTTCGCACGACCTCCATTCGGACAAACAATATAGCTTCCGTTTCGCCAGGTCTACCGCCGATGTGTTAACGGCCATCACTGAATTTATCTATCGATCTCTTGATAAGAATAGCGAAGCTTGGGCTGAGGCTCTAGATACCTTGAAGGCACCTGACGGGGTTTGGCATGTGGCTTTCTGCGCAAGCGCCTGGACTACAGAGTCACAGGACGAATACTTAGTTTAATCCAATCGTCCCTAACAAATCATGAAATGAATGCCGCGTTGAATGGGCTCGCTTCCAGATCATTTCATATGAACGCGGGAGTCCCCCAAGGCTCTATCATGGGACCTACGTTGTTTCGTATCCTCATCAAAGATCTCTCCGATGTCATCAGTTCCCAGATGACAATACCATTCACCCCTGTCACAGTAGCAAATCCGACAGATCTGACAAAGTCAACCTGGCAACTGCTCTTGAAAAAGACTTCCAATCAGGTGTGAACTGGGGCAAAAAATGGCTTGTGAATTTTAACTCCTCCAAAATAAAATTGCTTTCATTTAATCACCACAGAGAACCTTTTCTTCCTGCCATCAATATAGCTGATGCTAAATCCCATACGAGTAACACGCTACCCCATCTTGGTCACATGTTTTCCACCGACAAATTGGAGTGACTATATCGAATCACTTGCTTCACCTACTACAAGGAAAGTTGGTTCAATCTATCGTGCCAGAAGGTATTTCTCGTCAGAATCCATCTTGCACATTTATAAATCTACCATTCGTCCGTGCATTGAATACTGCTGCCATAACTGGTCTGGTGCTCTTACTGTACATCTCGCGATTCTTGACAAAATCCAAAGAAGGATCTGTAATCTAATCGATTCTGACCAGGCATCTCGGCTTCAGTCACATTCTCACCGACGTAACCTGGCTTCCTTCTGTCTTTTCTACAAATATG